AGCGTTCTGCTTCTCCTAGCTAGCGTTCTGCTTCTCCTAGCTAGCGTTCTGCTTCTCCTAGCTAGCGTTCTGCTTCTCCTCTCCTAGCTAGCTTTCTGCTTCTCCTAGCTAGCGTTCTGCTTCTCCTAGCTAAGCGTTCTGCTTCTCCTAGCTAGCTTTCTGCTTCTCCTAGCTAGCTTTCTGTTTCTTCTAGAATTAACAACTCTGTTTCAGCTTCTTCAGTAGAATCTCTACCAAAATAAGCTAATTTTCTAGTTTTTGTTTACATGTTCTCGCACTAATTGCAGCTGTTTTGGTCCCTTTTTTTTAACCCAACCTGAAGAATCGGAGCTTTCGTTTGTTACAGGTCCCTCACATACGCGGTTTAAACAGTGAAGAAGTCTGACAGAAACGAAAACAAATCCTCCTTAAAGCAGTTCTGGTGTAARAAGTTGGAGTTGAATCAGCCGGTGGGTTGAGTCCAACTCACCAGAGGAACGTCTCGAGCCTTCTCTATCCTCACGATCTTGACGGTCTCTCCTCCCCACTGGGTCAGAGTCTCTCCTTCGACCGGCTCGGACTCGGGCTGCATTTCCGTCTCCGCTATCGTGTCGTGAGTCAAAAGRAGCGACTGCAGAACACACAGCGCAGCTCAGACAGAAGCAGAGTTTGTTTTTAAGAGGTTTGATGGTGTTTTTATAATTTTTTTTCATACCTGCATGTTTGTATCTGACAGCAGTCTGTGCAGCTCAAGTCCTTCTTTACTCTGACAGGACTGCGCGAGGCTCCTAACCTGAAACAAACAATAAAACAAAGCTTCAGGTCACTGCAATTCATATTGAGATCTGGACTGTTTATTTAGTTTTTGTTGTAGATCAGATGGCCTCACGTTTGACCCCACAAACACTTTGGTCTACAGAGGAGTCGGGTAAATGTGTAATTTTTTACCTCATTTTAAGAGCTGCTTTGGACTGATGCTCTTTTTGTTTGATGTTGATAATCTACCTCTTCGTTCATTTAATTCACCTAAAACTCYACTCAAATCCCAGYTTAAACTCCTCTCCTCCACGTGAAACGAGTTAAACTAAAAAAAACGTTGGCGTGTTTGTAATAACCCGGCTCACTGCGGCTGTTTTTTTAATAACTCAGTTCTTTTTCCACTTTATTACCGAGACAAAGGAGCGCGTTTGTGGGACGGCAGAGCAAACGTGAGCTCTTCTTTTTTGGAAGCCAAATGCAGGGCAGGAGGTGGAGATGCCAACATGGAGGAAAAACATAATGTGCCGCCTTTAATGAGAGTTCTCTGAAATGAGCCGTGAACAAACTCCAAACCCCGTGGCAGGAGAGAACAGAGGGTACGAGCGGCGTGGAGGTTTACCGTTAAAACTCATAAAAAACGAGGAGCAACGCTGCACGTCTGAGCAGCTCTGGGAGTTTTCTGTGTTTCAGCGCRGACTGTCTCTCGAATGTCTGGAAGGAAATGAGTCTGGCTGCGTTACCTCCATGGCCAGTGGATGCGCCTGATGCATTTGTGGGAACGGAGGAGACGGCCGGTGCATGCTGGAGGCCACGGCATTGTGGATCTTCAGTGCCGACTGGAAATCAGACTGAAGGAGGAGCAGAAGAAACCAGGAAGTTCAGACGCATAAAAACATGGAAATTGTTTTTTTTGCTGTTCAGCAGCAGGTTGTTCTTATTAAGACATTTCTAGATTGTTGAAATAATTAAAAAAATTAATTAAACTTCTGTTACAGCAGAATCTTAACACCTCGAGACCACTTTAAAAGATTACAGGAAAGTCTGGCTGCTTGGGAGGTAGACGAAATGAAGCACGGTTTAAGACTTTTGCACAAAGGACGTAATATCCCTGGATACATTTACAGCATTTGACACATAAAAACACATTTAGGTACAACATTTTTATTACATTTATTAAATGGTTTTAATGGTTGATGTGTTTTTCCCACAGTGTGTAACAGATTAATTTATTATTATTATTATTTTTTTTTTTATTGCACCATTTTTTTCACCTTTGGTTGGTTTGTTTGTCCGTCTGTTAGCAAAATATCTTATGAAGTACTGAAAGTAATAACAACTACAACTGAATAACTTGTAGAGTCAACCTGATTCAAGGAAGCTAATGCAGCTAACCTTAGCACACATAAAAGTAACTAAAGCTTAGTCATATTTAGCATTAATGAGCTAAAGTCTGGTGTGGTAGTAGCTGAGAGTCATCCTCAACACGTACTCTGAGTGCTTTAACTCTGTTCTTTCTCATCATAAGATAATCCAGGTTTGGAAAAAAGTTGAATAAAATAAATTAATTGAATCATCCTTTATTTGTGCACAAACTAGATGTAAGATTGTGTGTAACTCAAGTTATTATTATTTTTATTGTTTTTTTTTTTTGTGTGTTTTTACCTTGTTAAGCAGCGAAAGCACCAGTTCTACATCATTCTGACTCTGCTGGTCGGGCAGGAAGCTTCGGACCTGCTTCAGCGACAGCAGCAGCTCCTCCAACTCTGCAGAAACACGAAGCAGTTCATGTGGTTAAACCTCGACAGGCAAAACAAACACACAACAAGAGGCTGCGACAGAATTCAGGCTTCAGAATCATGTGAGGCTACAGTGTGTGTGTGTGTGTGTGTGTGTGTGT